AGAAAGTGGCTAGCAGGATTCCTTGTAGAATGTTATTGTACCTATAATTACCCATACCATCTATTATATGCCCAGTTAATCTGGTTTAAAAAAAAAGTTGAACCAAACATTATTAACCACTTCCAGCCCAGGCAAATTCTGACATTTTTCTACTACATGTAAAAGCCATCATTTTTTTGCTAGAAAATTACTCAGAACCCACAAACATTTTTATATATTTATATATATATATATATATATTTTTTTTTTTTTTTTTTTTTAAGCAGATACCCTAGAGAATAAAGTGGTGGGTGTTGCAATTTTTTATGTCACAGGATATTTGTACAGCGATTTTTCAAACACAATTTGTTAGAATAAGTACACTTTAATGAGTTTTAATGCAAAAAAAACACTATATAACCCGTTTGTTTTCTAAAGTATAAAAGATGATCTTATGGCTAGTAAATAGATAGCTAAAAAGAGCTTTAAAATTGCGCTCTGATACTTAAAACTCTCCATAAGAGATGCTTTAAAAATGTTTACAGGTTACCAGGAGGTCTAGTGCTAGAATTATTGTTCTCGCTCTAAAGTAAAACCTCACATGCGTGGTGCAAACACTGTTTACGTATGTGACCTAAGTATGCGTTTGCCCCTCAAACCAGGGGAATGAAGGTGCTTTAAAAAAAAATTTTATTATTATATTTTAAAAATTATTTTTATACTGTCCCTTTAATTTTTTTTAACACTTTTATTCCTATCACAATAAATATAAACATCCCTTGTGATAGAAATAAGGTATGACAGATCCTCTCTATGGAGACATCTGGGGTCTACAAGACTCCAGATCTCTCCTCTGCCCTGGAAAGCATGAAATGAAAAACAACAAAATATTCATTTCATTCTTTTCAAAACAAAAAATGGCAGTGTTTACATCTGCCAGAACCAGAGGTGACGTCATAACATCGCTTACAGCCTCCCAGGACCAGTACTTTTATTTCTATCACAATAAATGTAAACATCCCTTGTGATAGAAATTTTATGGAGACATCTGGGGTCTATAAGATCTCTATCTTAGAAAGCATGAAATTAAAAAAAAAACAAAACAAAAAAAGAAAACATTCATCATTCTTTTCAGAACAAAAAATGGCAGTGTTTACATCTGCCAGAGCCAGAAGTGATGTTATGACGTTGCTTACAGCCTCCCAAAACCATAGAGATTTCTGAGGACCGTTTGGTCCACGGCCAGCTCTATGATAACCCAGTGGCATTGCCAGATCAGATTCCAGGCTCCCCAAACATACGTCCATCTGTTGGGAAGTGGTTAAAGCAGTGTTTCTCAGCCGGGGTTCTGCGAGAAGTCCCCAGGGGTTCCACCACAATTCACCATTGTGGTGGATGTATATCCGCCCAATGATGAATTCAATATGTACTGACAATACTGTCAGGGCGCATTGATACCCGATGTCTCCCCTGTAGTTCCAGCTGCTGCCTGTGACATCACTGCAGAGGGCGGAGGGGGACAAGAAGAGAGCATTTGTGGCATGTTTTCCTTTCTCATCAGTGGCTATTGATTGCAGAATGTTGTAGCAAGGTGAGCTTTGTGCAGCATACGGTACCTGTACTTCTACTAATCCTAACTGTACTCCACTGATCCCCACCAGCTCTCCTTTTCTGTCCATCCCAGGCACTTGACATCACCTGGGATGGATAAGAGAGGAGATCTGGTGGGGATCAGAATGCCAAATCTGACATGTACCAGCAACTGTCCTGAGCAGCTCTGCATGAGGAAGAAATTAACCAGTACTACAGACCCCCTGTGCCCTGACTCAGTGACCCTCCTGCTGTGCTCTGCCCTTTTGACACCCTTGTGCCCTGACCTGGTGACCCCTCTGTGCCCTGACCTAGTGACCCGCCCTGTGCCCTGACCTAGTGACACCCCTGTGCCTTGACTTGATACACATCTGTGCCTTGACCTGGTGACTCCATTGTTCCCTGACCTAGTGACTCCACTGTGCTTTGTCCTGTTGACACCCCTGCGCCCTGATCTGGTGACTCTTCTGTGCCCTCACTAGTGACACCCCTGTGTGATGATGGGCTGTGATTAGCCCTGTATGTATCATGTGACTGCTTTGACCAGTCACATCTAACAACCTAAGGTGACTTCTCTGTGCCCTGACCTAGTGACTCCTCTGTGCCCTTACCTGGTGACTCCCCTGTGCCCTGACCTAGTGACTCCTCTGTGTCCTGACCTGGTGACTCCTCTGTGCCCTGACCTGGTGACTCCCCTGTGCCCTGACCTAGTGACTCCTCTGTGCCCTGACCTAGTGACTTCTCTGTGCCCTGACCTGGTGACTCTACTTTGCTTTATCCCTGGTGACCCCCCCCCCCCCCATTGCCCTGACCTAGTGACTCCCCTGTTCCCTTACCTGGTGACTCCCCTGTGCCTTGACCTGGTGACTCCTCTGTGCCCTGACCTGGTGACTCCCCTGTGCCCTGACCTAGTGACTCCCCTGTGCCCTGACCTGGTGACCCCCTTGTGCCCCAACCTGGTGAACCCTTGTGCCCTGACCCAGTGACTCCCCTGTGTCCTGACCTGGTGACTCCTCTGTGCCCTGACCTGGTGACTCCCCTGTGCCCTGATCTAGTGACTCCTCTGTGCCCTGACCTGGTGACTCTGCTTTGCTTTATCCCTGGTGACCCCCCCCCCCTTGCCCTGACCTAGTGACTCCCCTGTTCCCTTACCTGGTGACTCCCCTGTGCCTTGACCTGGTGACCCCCCTGTGCCCTGACCTAGTGACTCCCCTGTGCCCTGACCTGGTGACTCCCTTGTGCCCCGACCTGGTGAACCCCTGTGCCCTGACCTAGTGACTCCCCTGTGCTTTACCCTGGTGACACCCCTGTGCCCTAACCTGGTGACTCACCTGTGCCCTGACCTGGTGACTCACCTGTGCCCTGACCTGGTGACTCACCTGTGCCCTGACCTGGTGACTGCCTTGTGCCCTGACCTGGTGACTCACCTATGCCCTGACCTGGTGACTCACCTATGCCCTGACCAGGTGACTCCCTTGTGCCCTGACTTAGTGATTCCCCCGTGCTCTGCCCTGGTGACCCCTCTGAGTTCTGCCCTGGTGACTTCCCTGTGCCCTGATCTGGTGACCCTCCTGTGCTCTGTCCTGGTGATACCCCTGTTTAGTTTCAGTTGAAATTCATGTGTGCATATCCCAATTTCAACCCAGAATTGAGCATCTGTGCAGAAAAAAAGCCAGCCCAATTTCACAGTAAGGAAGTAAGTTTTAATATTCATTCTATTACTTAATGCTATTTCTAAAAATAATCATTGTTATATCAACAGCTCGCTGAACACACCAATGTTCTGTGAGCTGTAGATCTGAAAATTATTTCAGGGGTTCCCCGAAATCTCAGACAATTTGCCAGGGGTTCCTCGAAGGCAAAAATGTTGAGAAACACTGGGTTAAAGTATATCTAAAGCAAAATTTCAAAATGCTTTTTTTGTTTAAGACAGAGTACGGAAGGGTTAAAACCCATCAGATTTTTAAACCATCCATGTCCCATTAAGTAGATTTCCCTTCAGTTCCTGTCCCACTGACACATATGGAATGAGAGGAAGTCTTGCAAAAATGAAGGAAATCCCCTCTTCAACAGTTATACTACATATATATTCCAAATGGAAAACATTCTGTTAATTTATGGTTCCTGTGACAACAAATTTAATTTTCCTTCATTTTTAATTTCAGAACAAAGAAAAACAGTAAACCTCCCCCATGTAGACTCTGACAGCTAAAAACACCTGACAGGGTTATTATCACTTTCACTTATATCCAAAACAATATAGAAAGGTTTAAATTTACATGCACTTTAAGAATTTCCCAAAAATCTAAATAAAACTGAAAGTTAAAGTAGCCCCTGTCAGCTGCATTCTAAAATCCTGCAATTGAAGAGGCATTAATATTAACTCTCCAGAGGTACGTCTCCTACCTTTGGTCAATTCCAGTCCTGCAGCCTCCATCATTCTCTTTATTATTTGATAATTACAGGAGTGTTGAATGCCTATGTCAGCCCCTATGCACTGCGGCCTCATTCTAAAACCCCTATGTCACTGTTGTGTCCTGTATTGATGTATGAGAGTACGTGTCAAACACAATGCCCCCCCCTTAGGCCAAATCTGGCCCACCAGGCCATTTAATGTGGCCCTCGCACCTCTCTTGCAGCTGCAGCACCCTCCTCGTCTCTGCCCCACCTTGTCGGCAGTAGAGAGGATAGAACTCCAGATCCTGTCCTCCGTGCAGCCATGGAGAGGCTGGTCTTTGTGCTCCAACAGTTTCTGTAGTTGGCAGCAGATCCTACAGATCCTGCAACTCTCTGTGCAGCCACAACACCCTCTCATCTAAGCCTCCCTTGTCTAAGCATTCAGCTGACTCCAGCCCTCCTCCAGACTGTGCACTTTTTTTTTTCCAGCTCCTCACCCAGTTTCTTCCCAGCAACAATACAAGGCAAGGGGGGCGCACTGTGATGTAGGGGTGGGTGGAGGACTCTTGACTTCTGATGGTAGAAGGGCTTTTGACACCCCCCATGGGGTGCTCTGGACATCTAGTTTTACAGATAAAACCAGGCCTTTTGAGGGCAACCCTAATGCTGATGTGGCCCGTGATGAAATTGAGTTTGACGTCCCTGGGTTAGAGGATGGAAACCACAGCACACCGCAGGGGACAATGACATATGAAATTCACAGAAGTGTTGAATTCTGAAGAGACTGACAAAGGCTGCAGCACTGGAACAGTAGAAAGGTAGAAAACTCACTGGCCACCAGAAAGTTGAGTATAATACCTCTTCCATGACAGGTTACTTTAACCGCCTTCCGCCCGCCATATAAGGTAATGATGGGTGCAAGGCGGTTCTCTCGTTCTGGGAGGACGTCATCCAACTCTAACCGCGCATGCACGGCTCCGGGAGCACGCAGCACAGCGATCAGTGGTGTGCTGTGTCTCTTGGACACAGCGGATCACCTATCAACAGAAAGAGCTGAATATGTTGGCTCGGTCATGTGATCAGCTGTGTCCAATCACAGCTGATCACATGTAAATAGGGAAATGCCGGTCATCGGCATTTCTCTCCTCATGAGCTGTCACACTGACAGCTCGAGAGGAGAGGAGAGCCGGTAATCAGCATTCCTCGAAGGGGACATGTACACTGATCATCAGGGCACTGATGATCAGTGTGCCCTGATGATCAGTGTAGCCCCATCAGTGCCACCTGTCAGTGCCCATCAATGCCAGTTGTCAGTGTTCATCAATGCCACCTGCCAGTGCCCATCAATGTGCAGTGCACATCAATGCCACATATCAGTGCCCCTCTGAGCTGCCTTTCAGTGTCACCTATCAGTGCCAGTCAGTGCCACCTATCAGTGCTGCCAATCAATGCCACCTATCAGTGCCAGTCAGTTCCGCCTATCAATACCAGTCAGTGCCGCCTATCAGTGCCCGTCAGTGCTGTCTATCAGTGCCGCCTATCAGTGCCAGCCAGTGTCACCTATCAGTGTCACCTATCAGTGCCATATATGAGTGCTGCCTTTCAGTGCCCATCAGTGATGCCTGTCAATGCCCATCAGTGCCACCTACTAGTGCCTCCTCATCAGTGCCCATCAGTGCAGCCTATCAGTGCCCATCACTGCAGCCTCATTAGTGCACATCAGTGAAGGAGAAAAATCACTTATTTACAAAATTGTATAACAAAAACTAAGAAAAAAACTTTTTTTGCAAAATTTTCAGTTTTTGCTTTGTTTAGCAAATAATAAAAAACCCAGAGGTGATTAAATACCACCAAAATCAAAGCTCTATCTGTCTAAAAAAATGATAAAAAATTCATATGGGTACAGTGTTGCATGACTGCACAATTGTCATTCAAAGTGTGACAGTGCTGAAAGCTGAAAACTGGCCTGGGCAGGAAGAGGGTATAAGTGCCCTGTAGGCAAGTGGTTAAATTAAATAGGTCTTAGGTTTATCAGTCATGGGCAGTTTTTCAGTCTTCAGTTTTCTGAACTACTGTACTCTTTGTCTACAAGCATAGCCACTACCAAAGGTAGAAGTCCTGGGGTCACAGCTCTATATAGTTCTGAGTTATTATAAGAATTACAAGTCCTTGAGCTAGTGAGCTAGTGAGCTAGTGAGCAGCTTTCCCTAGGCCTCTGATCTATTTCACTGACTGAAGGCCTTATATTCTAAGACTTAAAGTTCAATAGTATTGGTGCTCTGTGCACGTGGATATCTCCATATACAGAGTGGCCTCAACATATGAAGCAGACAAGTCCACACTTTTGTACATGTCCAGATATACTCTACCCTTTGAAGTCTTTCTGGGTCATGTCCAAAAAGTTCTCAAAATAGGTAGAAATAAACAAGTAGTATAAGTAAGGGTTTCCAGAAACAGTGTACCTGGATTTTGTACTTTGAAGGTTCTGTCGACATAACATCCGGGCTCCATACACTTTCTTTCTGTGAACACTGTAAAGAGCTATCAAAAGAGAAATATTTCAGTCTTAGAAAGATGAGGAGCTGAGGCCTCATTCAGACAGGGTGATTACATCCGTGTTCCATGCAGGGCCATGTTTTACTAGGATGGGGATGCAGTCCCATTGTTGCCTATTGGATAGCTGCATTGACACAGCCTCTGTTCTCAATATGACATCTGTGCAGGTGCATGATCCTGAACTCACCCACATGGATGTCATATTGGAAGCAGCGGCTGTGTCCATGTAGCCTTTGCATCCCAATAGACAACAACGGGACTGCTGGCACAGGGATGTTCACAGCACCAGTGCATCCCTGTGCTGCTAAAAACAAAGCCCTACACTGGGCATGGATCTATTTGCCTAATCGAGGTCTAATCATGACATTTCAAACTGTAGGCTCAATTCACAGAACTTTACACAATGGATAAGAAGCTTAAAATGGCTGTAAGGCTCCATGCACACGGGGCGTTTTAATAATGCTGGTAACATTAGCTGTGTAAAGTCATGTTAAAAACGTGTTTTTCAGCATTTTTATATTAGCGTCTACCGGCATTTTGATGCACTTTTTAGCTTTTTTTTTAGCTTTTTTTTAGAGTTTGTTTTTAGCAAAAAAATTTTTTTTGTATAAAAAAAATCCAAAAATGCTTTTTTTTGCTGCGATTTACTGCGTTTTGCCTTGTTTTTCAGCATTAGAGTATTTTTACAGCTAAAAACTCCTCTAGAAACCCACTAGTTCTGTTTTTTTTTTCCAGCCAAAAAATGCCCCTGCCAAAAAATGTTAAGTACAGTCTATGCGTGTATGGACACATAAAATAACATGACCAACAGAAGAACTCTCAAAGTAATTCAGTAGCGCAAAAAATAAATATGTGAATAAATAAATAAATATGTGATCACTCAGCATAAGTGCAAAATAAAAAGTACATAAAATGTCTCTTCCACCAAATCTTGTAATTCTCAAAAAGAAATCACCACGTGCAAAAGGATGGCGTTCCCCCTTTTGGGTATGCACTCCGGTCGCCGCACAGCCTCGCCCTCTCAGGACTTTCAGGACCAGAACCGGAAGTGACACGGGAGCGCCATTGTTTGGGATCTGGCCGTGGTGAGAGCACTACTTGATACCCACCAGTGTTTTTATATCACACTGCAGTACCTATGGGCTTTTTATTTACCAAAATTTTGTAAGTGGCTTTCTATTTTAGCAATTAAAGGTGTTATTATGTATTGCACCATTGGGGTATTTCTTTTTTGTTTCTACATGACCATTAATCCTGAGAGAGAAAGATTAGGGAGAAGGAGAGTATTATCTATGTTGCCATAAGCTCCTCATTATTAGGAATCTGTTAAATTGTGGAGTGGTGTCAGTCGATCATGGGAATGACAGACATGGAGATTGGAGGATAAACAGAGAGGAGTGAAACAATATCGATACTGGTTGACTTCCTTCCCACCTGGATTTATTTAATAAGCTATTCCAGTCACCCATGAGAATGGGGGGCATGGCTATTCAGTGAGTGCATACCCAAAAGGGGGAACGCCATCCTTTTGCACGTGATGATTTCTTTTTGGGAAGTACAAAATTGGGTGGAAGAGACATTTTATGGACTTTTTATTTTGCACTTATGCTGAGTGATCACTTATTTATTTATTTATTCACATATTTATTTTTTGTGCTACTGAATCACTTTGAGGGTTCTTCTGTTGGTCATATTGATTATATTAGAAGTGGCAGCATTGTTTACTGTTATTTATATTTAATTTATTTATTATTCATTGTTATGTTTAGTATCACGCATCTAGCGTAAATGTTTTTGTTTTCATATAGAATAACATGCTGGGGAGTTTACTGGTTGTAGAAAAAAAACGTCAAAAGCCAAAAACAGCAGCTGTAAAAACGTCCAGTGTGCATGAGGACTAAAGGCTCAAGGTTTTTTTTATCTTCATGTATGCTCTCCTGGGACTCTCCCTCCTCATTTGCTGAGACAACGGTGGGAGCCATTGGTTCCTGCTGTTGTCAGTCACAACCAGTGAGCCAATGAGGGGAGAGCAGAGCCAAGCCTTGCTTTGTGTATAAATAGACATGCAGAGCAGTGGCTCGGGAGCAAGACTATTTGGGTGCCCTCATAGCAAGCTGCTTGCTTTGGGGGTACTCAACAGGAGAGAAGGGTGAGGAGCACCAGTGGGTGACCCGAGAAGAAGAGGATTGAGGCTGCTCTGTGCAAAACAATTGCATAGAGCAGGTAAGTATAACATGTTTATTATTTAAAAAAAACATTTAATATCACTTTATTTTCAGCCATGTGACTGTTTTCCAAATCTCATTGGGCTCGGTTAAAAATAACTGTCACTTTAAAATAAAAGCCTGCAACATATCTACTCAAAACCAGTATGTGCATATATGTATATGGGCAAATATAATATTGTTGTACCTTGTGTGAGTTCAGGAGCCTCAGCCACAAAGCTGATTCGGTATTTGCTCCTCTTCCAGCTGCGGTCATTAGTAATAAGGGAATTGTTTGCTTTCTCAATGTTAACATCATCTCCTACACAGAATACATCACAAGCAGCCTGTTGGGATAAAGAAATCTTTGTTATGCTGTGTATCTACTCAATTGAATTGTGTTTATTAGACCACACAGACATTTAAAAATATATCAGCTCACAGTTATCCCCATCCTCTCCAGTGCATCAAAGGAAACCTAGTCTGAAATAATTATGTAATATGCAATTTGTGCCCTTGCAAGTTGTCTGGCTATATCTGGATTCAGTGGCTTCTGTGGGAAAGGTCTGCACTATTGATCTGTCTATTTCTTTCAGGTTGTGTTATGAAACCAGATCAGGGTTACACTTAGACAAGTAGCATTTTCAGAATGAGAAGTCATCAAAGGCAACCTGAGGAAGGCCATCTTTTAACCACATGTGAGTTATCTATTTTTCTCTGTAATTATTTCATATTTGAATAAAACATACTACACTATTAGTACCATTTTCTGCCCTTGGCTTGGTCATTGCGAGCCTCACAAAGTGGAGCCATTTGGGAGTGTGGAGTTAATACCTTGAGCTGCCTGATGAGTCTGTGAGCGGAGTGAGACCCCCGAGTGTGAGTTATCATCTTGAGCGTCCACTGTTGAGCCTGATGACACCAGAGCCCGATGACTCCATCATAAGGATTTACATATAATGCTCATATTATATGTACTTCTGGTAAGTGCATCACCTCACCATATCTTGGCACCAATATTTATGGTCACGAAGCACTGATAACCCTGCATTATGGACATTACTACTTTGTAATTGGACTTACTAGCATTGTCACGATATCACTAATACGTCATTTACAGACGCATTTTTCACTGCACTATCTTTGCACTCATAGCAGCGCCCACTTATACTATTGGATCATACCTAAGTTTATAGTGCTGCATATTTATCTTTATTTGTCGTTTTTTAGGTGTTGAGGTTTACCTGTATATGCTAGCTACTATTCTTCCATTTACAATATGGCGCTAACATTTACATGTTATATATACTGCATATTTGCCTCAGTACAAACTTCCTTTTAAAGCCGAATTTTAGACAGACACAAGTTTTTACTGCTGCAGGCATTATCCTGGTATTTTTTAAGCTTTCTTGTAAAAGCAATCCTATTGGCAATCTCACCGCTGGATTTATTTTACAGGAACGGGAGAAGAATGTCGCCCTCCCCCCCGCCACCTTCTGCAACACTGATGGGCTCTCCTGTCTCACTGGGAGACCCGAGTGTTCTGTTGGCTGGCCATAGGGCTGATCAGAGACTGGAACAACTCCAGTCATCTCTATGGTGTAAGAAACTAGAAGCCATGAACATTTCATCACTTCCAGTATTGTGGCTGTAAACAAAATTTAAAAACGCATCAGATTATACTGATCTTGGTATGATCCCAAACTTTTAAGGGCAAAAATCTAATAGACCCCAGATCTCTCAGTAACCCCTGGTTCACATTAGTGTGGGCTGTGCATCTCGCATTTGCATG